TTCCAGCACAACACACAGACAACATCAACTTCATTATGTGTAGTAGTGACTATACCCTACATGACCAAAATACTCTAGCTATATACTTGTCCAAACTTCCAACCACTACAGATATCAGTAGTAGAACTCAACACACAACTCAGGATATAAATAACCATAATTTTAAACCTAGAAGATGATTGATCACGTTGACCCTGATCTAAACCTCCATAATCTGACACCCAGTCAAAACCTATTGGAAAGTAACTGCCTTTATTACACAGCATCACAAGCCACCACTATCTTAAACAATGCTAAAAGTCTATCAGTACTTAACTACAACATCAGGTCCTTAAGCAAACACTATGATGACCTCCTAGCACTCCTTGAATCACAAAAGACACCTTCTCCTGCATTATTCTTACTGAGACCTGGCTTAAGCAGGACACAATAGATATCTACCCTCTACCAGGATACACAGCAATTCACAACTGCAGAACAAACCAAGTTGGGGGTGGTATTGCAATCTATTACTCTAACCAATTATCTTGTCTTAGCACCACTTGCTTTAGTGATGAATATGGGGAATATATTTTTGCTAATTTTACTGTAAAAAAACTTAAGACGCCTATAACAATCGGTGCCATTTACCGGATACCTCACACAAACATCCCAAATTTCAGTGAGAAATTAAAGTCACTAATAACAAACAGACAATTGAATAAGCACCACCTTTTCTTAGCTGGAGACTTCAACATCAACCTTGGCTTACTAGATGATCAGCCTGTAACTGATTTCATCAACAATATGAACAACACACTTCTCATACCAACAATAACTAAACCAACCAGGCTCACTGAGACAAGTGCAACCATAATAGACCACATATGGACCAATATACTAGCCCCCCTTAAATCAGGGATAATCACAGATAGCACTACAGACCACTACCCTACCTTCCTCCTGACAAACATTAGTAAACCACCACTTGAATACAACAAAGTCTCATTTAGACTCCATGACGAGGCCTCAGTAAGGAAGTTCACAGCTGACCTAGAGACTGTTGATTGGCCTACAGAATTCTCCAAGGCCAATGGTATTGATGACTGGACAGACATCTTTCTTAACAAATTACTTAGACTATACAACAAACATTGTCCTATAAAAACAAAACAGATCACAAACAAACGGCTTGGTTGCCCATGGCTAACCAGCACCATTCTGAAATCCATTGACAAGAAACACCAATATGAAAAGCAATATAGACAGGGCTTAATACACAAAGATACTCTAAACACTATTCATCAGCTCTCACCAAAGTAATAAAAAAAGCCAAACAACTATACTACTCCAGTAGATTCACAGACACTAGAGGAGATATAAAAAAAAGACCGGGAAAACACTCTCTCAGATTCTAGGGACCCACAAACTGAGAAAAACCAAGAATATTGTCCTAACTAAACCTAATGAAACACCACTACATCCCACTGACACAGCTAACAAGATAAACGACTTCTTCTCAAACATAGGATCTAATCTCGCCAGTAAAATCCCACATACCAATGCCCATGCTGGGGACTACCTAGATGGAAATTTCCCTAATTCCTTCTATCTTGCACCAACTGAGCCCACGGAAGTCATTGAGATCATAAAGTCACTTAAAAATAACTCGGGGAATCTGTCTCATGTCCCACCATTACTGTACCAGCGAGCGGCCCATGTCCTTTCGCATGCTATTTCATTACTTTTTAACAAGTCAATAGAGACTAGCACCTTCCCAAAACTACCCCAAGATGGCAAGGGTTACACCAATACATAAAGGTGGTGACCCTACAGACTTAAACAACTATAGGCCAATATCTAACTTACGATTGCTATCCAAAATCTTTGAGAAACTCGTGCACAGGAGACTGTATTCATTTATAACGACTCAAAACATACTCAACCCCTGCCAGTTTGGATTCAGGAAAAATAAAAGCACTAATGATGCAATCATAAAAATGCTAGATCTGCTTTACACAGCATTGGAAAATAAGGAATATCCACTAGGAATTTTTATTGACCTAAGAAAAGCTTTTGACACAGTAAACCACGAAATCCTACTCCACAAACTTGACCACTACGGTACAAGAGGCCATGCGCTTGCTTATTTCAAATCTTACATTACTAATAGGTATCAGTACGTCACCATTAAAGACACAGCATCAGCAACACGGCCACTTGATACTGGAGTTCCGCAGGGAAGTGTCCTTGGTCCCCTGCTCTTCCTCATATACATCAATGACCTCCCAAACGTATCCCAACACCTGAAACCCATTCTCTTTGCTGATGACACAACTTATGTCATCTCTCACCCTAATCTTGCCACCCTCAACACCATTGTGAATGAGGAGCTGATTAAAATATCGATTTGGATGACAGCCAATAAACTTACGCTTAACACTGACAAAACTTACTATATTATGTTTGGTAGCAGAGCAGGAGATGCACAAATTAACATTAAGATTGACAACACTCCAATTACCAGAAATAATGGGGGCAAATTCCTAGGCTTATACCTTGACAACAACCTGAATTTCAGCACCCATATCCAGCATATAGCCAAAAAAGTATCCAAAACGGTTGGGATCCTCTCCAAGATACGATACTACGTGCCGCAAAATGCCCTTCTCACACTATACCACTCACTTATTTATCCATACCTCACCTATGCTATTTGTGCTTGGGGATCAACTGCAGCAACACACCTAAAGCCAATAATAACCCAACAAAAAGCTGCAGTAAGAATAATCACTAAATCCCATCCCTGGCAGCACACCCCCCACTCTTCAAAGATCTAAACTTACTCCCAGTTCAGTACATCCACACTTACTACTGTGCAATCTATATCTACAGGGCCTTAAACTCTAATATCAACCTTGACCTAAAACGCTTTCTTGATAGTTGTGACAGAACCCACAGGCATAACACCAGAAACAAACATCTCTACGACATTCCCCGTGTCCGACTAAGCCTTTACAAAAAATTCAATGTATGTCAAAGGCCCTAAAATCTGGAATACCCTACCTGAGAACTCTAGAACTGCAGACACATTCATCACCTTCAAAACTACCATTAGAAAACATCTTATCTCCCTGATACACCCCGTCAACTAACTACACGAATACCACCTGGTGGTTCACACTTACACTCGCTCACTCATTTGACCATAAACAGAAATTTTTAATCTCAGTCTTAAAATAATGAATCCTGTGATACTCCAATACTGAAACTATATACTGTGCCAAAACAAAAGCATTCACATTGCTAAACTCACAAACTAGTATTTAGTCACTTAGCCATAATACCAACTTACCTCATAATTTGTAATATTTTACAATTAAGAATAAAACTAAGTCTGCCCGAAATGCCTAGCCATGCTAAGCGTTCTAGTGGTACACTCTGTAATCACAATTTTACTACATGTAAACCAAACAATAACCAAATTTCTGTAAACTCAGCATTATAATCCTTATAGAGAATAAACTTTGAATTTGAATTTGAATGTTGTGCAAGTTCCTCATGTTATACAAGTTCCCCATGTTGTACAAGTTCCCCAAGTTGTACAAGTTCCCCGTGTTATTCAAGTTCTCCATGTTGTAAAAATTCCCCAAGTTCCCCATGTCATACAAGGTCCCCATGTACAAGTTCTCCATGTTGTACAAATTCCTCTTTTTATGCAGGCTCCCCATGTTGTACATCTTCCCTATGTTGTACAAATTCCCTATGTTGTGTAAGTTAAATAAATAACAAAAAGGCACAATACCGTGACTGGAACGATACACAAATAACTTTGTCAATGGTCCAAGTCGGACCGAAACGCCGTCGTAAGCTTCTGTCTTTTATGTGCGGGTTATTTGTGTATTGTGTAAGTTACCCATGTTATGCAAACTCCCTCATGTTGTACAAGTTCCCCATGTTGTTTAAGTTTCCTATGTTGTATAAGTGACCCATGTTGTGCAACTTGATCATGTTGTGTAAGTTCACCATGTTGTACAAGCTCCCCATGTTGTTTAAGTTTCCTATGTTGTATAAGTGACCCATGTTGTGCAACTTAATCATGTTGTGTAAGTTCACCATGTTGTACAAGGTTGGTTGTAGGCGCGAGTTATCTATGATATTGTGGGTTACTTTTACTTCCACAAATATTTCATTCTGTCACTTATAATATTTTGCATTGTTTATGTTGTCTTATTTCTCTGCAGTTTTTGTGCATTACTTTGAATATTACACATTTTCATCTAATTATTTGCAATATAATACGTTCTTCTTCATATCACTTGTCATGTTATAAATGTTTTATTTTGTCATTTAAAATATTAATCATGTTTTTTATTTTCACATGAAATATTATATTTCATTCAAATCTTTTACTTTTTCAGTTGTAATTGTGTTCTGAAGAAATATTATGGACAGTCTCACCATGGACTTCGTTACCAGCTCAAACTTCAACAGCATTAAATGGTAAATCAGCCATAATGTCTGCAGAAGAGTCAGGAACTTTTTTGCAATATTTTCTGCAGACGTATGAGGAACTCCGTCTCTGTCAGCAACAATTTTTGCAAAAATATCAGTAGCTCGATGAGCAACATTAATTTCAGGAGCAACAAAAGAGCCTTCAGCACCATTATCTGCTGAAGCTGACAGGAACTTCATCAGCACCATTATCTGCTGAAGTGACAGGAACTTCATCAGCACCATTATCTGCTGAAGCGACAGGAACTTCATCAGCACCATTATCTGCTGAAGCGACAGGAACTTCATCAGCACCATTATCTGCTGAAGCATCTTGAGCTCCTTTAGTGGCATTATGTGCACAAACCTGAAACTCTGTGTGCTGCATTATTTACTGAAACATCAGGAGTTCTTTCAGCAGTATTATTTACTGAAGCAATAAATCTCCACGAGCAGCATTATTTTCAGAAGCAACTGGAGCTCCGTCGTGGACAAAATTATATCAGAAGTGTTTCATGTAATGTGCCATGGCTTTAATATCTAAAGAGGATAATAATGTATGCAGGCTCTTTAAAGCTATGAATCTGTGTGGCAGTCAAGTACTGCATAAAATATTCTGCTGGGGAACCCCGGGTAAACCTTGTAATATGAGGCTGGATGAATACTTAAATAACTTGCCTCAAACATCATCAGCAAACTACTTAAGTCTTTCAAGAAAATACAGAATGTTTTACAAAAGGCAAATGAAATTAATTGATTCTAGTCCAGATGGAACAAAGTTTGATATGCCTTTGCTTATTCTGAGTATCAAACTAGCCTGTGAGAATGTAGCTCATTTGAATGATCCAAAATGGATCATTCCCAGTGTGGAAATGGAGTATTACATCACTGCTGTAAAGAACATTAGGAACGACATTCTTCATAATCACTCTGCAATTCCTGATGAAGAGTTTTTTCGTATCATAAGAAAACTTCGTGAGGCATTAACTGGATGTCTCAAAAGATCAGGAGAGCGGTATGGGCGAGACGAGGCTGAAGTGGACATGGAAATCAATCAGATGAATAATAACCTGGACCTCATCATAAGTGAAATACTCGGAGAGGAAGACATAATAAGGTATTCTAGTGATGATATAAGAAGGATTGTCATTAATGATAGTTGTTATGAACTGAAGAAGTTTTTCCAAAATATAATTTATATCAACCCAGTGTCTTTTTTCAGTACTGACCTTCCACTTAAAGTAAACAATATTTTTGTCGATATTGAAGTTAGACAAGGTAAACGGAGAGGTGAAGGTGAACATATAGATTATAGAGATCTTCTCAGCCTTGTTCAGACACAAAATCGTGATTCCTGTGCACCACCTAAAATACTTGTACTTGAAGGTATGGCAGGGAGTGGAAAGACTACTCTACTGAAGCTACTAACACAGGAATGGTCAGAGGGTGGTCAAAGAGCAATTAAAGGTTTAGTCAATTACGAACTCCTCTTGTGGGTACAGTGTGGAGACTCAACCAGAAAGTCCTACCAGGATCTCCTAGACTACCTAATACCAGATGTTTCATCAAAATTCAGGAATCTTCTGCCTAGAATAATAAAACTCTGTAAGGTCCTAATACTCATTGATGGATTGGATGAACTGAATATCAATTCTAGAGAATTAGTCAAAAGTCTTTTACAAGAATTCCGGAACTGTACTTGTTTAACTTTTATGTGTACCTCAAGACCTGAAACAGTCGAAATGTTCATGATGATGATCCCTGAAGAATATGAAGTAACATATGCTGAATTACTTGGCATAAAAAAAAAATATTTGGAGGAATTTGTGCGTCTGACTCACCAAGAGATAACTCGCCACACGATGAGTAACAGAAACACTGAAAAATTAGTAAATAAGATAAAGTTATTTGAAGATCTTCATGAACACTTAAGATTGCCAAGTAATTTAACATATTTTGTTTACTCCTGGGACCAACGTCCAGATGACGTAAACACAATGACCATCACTAAAACAGAACTCTACCAGGAAATACATCGTCTACGTCACAGAAAGTTATTAAATAGATTGAAAAATAAAGATATAAGTGAAAATCACCTAGAGGAGAAGGTTCAAATAATTTTAAGGATGTTATACAAGATATCACTGGAGAGCCTCTCGCGTCATCAGCTCACCCTTGATGAAGCAGCAGAAGAACAACTGATATCTGCTTGTAATGCATATGATTTACCTTACAATGAGATACTTTCTGCATTCATGAGTTTGAAGCCAATTAGGACGTGGCAAGGTGTCGAGGAGCGGTACTCAGCACCTCACCAGGGAATTCATGATTACTTCAGTGCTCTCCATATTGTGATGACACTCAAGGACCATTTACAGTCTTCTGCACTGCATGTCAGCATAGAGGAAATGTTAAAACAGAGTGTCAGGACAACCATGGTAAACATGGCCAAGTATAACAATGTTCTTGTGCATGTGGCCGGGCTGCTTCCTGTCTTACTTGGTAAGGTGCCTGAAGCCACCACGCAGGAAATTGTCCGTCTTGTGCGTGAGGCTAATATGAACCTATCTGACACTTGCAATGTGGACCAGTGGTTGCACCTTATTGAGAACACCAAATGCAATAAAAATATCACTAGGGAAATAGCTCGTTTCATCAATACTGAAAAGCCGATTTGCATCAAAGAGAACCAGATGTTGTGTTGCAAAGCTCTTTTTCCTCACCTCGAACCATCTGAGGTGCACATTGATGTCATGAGTGAACCTGATGATGTGTCCGACCTGCTTCACCTGCTGGATGTTCTCACCTCGTACAATCATCACTGCATAGGACTGGCCCTGCACCACCATTATCTTCATGATGATGCGGTCACCACGTCCGACAAGATCCTGCAACATGTACAGCCTAAGTGAGTTGTTCGTGTTATTCATTTTTATTATATTTATGTGAGTAGTTCAATCTGTATGTGTGATTCAGCACAAGAACTAGTGGAAACTCGATCCTCGTCTGCTGGTATTAGATGTGGCATGCTAACTCTGCAGTCAGTTAGATTATGTGAGAAGCTATTGATGTTTATGTTAACGGTGTTAACTAACATGTTTATTTGTTTTGATTATATTATTGTTCTTAATGGTAATTGGTGTTGAACATTGTTGGTGTTGATGTGTTGGTGTTGGTATGTGGTGTTGATGTTGATGTTGATAGTGTATGTTGATTGTTGGTGTTGACATTGTTGGTGTTGATGTTGTTAGTGTTGATTTGTTGATGTTTGGTATAGTTTGTTGATGTTGATCTGTCTGGCGTTGATGTTGTTGGCAGTATAAATAGCAAGATGGACAAAGATGGTAGAAGGAAAGGAAGTATAGAGGTATGTAGTAGTGTAGAGGAGTCAGTCAAACGGCTAAGAAAGAGAAGCATGCAGGAAACTATGGGCGGGTGACTTGTGTGGGCGAATATGTCGAAAAATATGGAGAAAGAATGATAATGGGTTAAGCTTATAGTAAAAATAATTTTACAACTGGCAACATTATTGGTGTAACGTCTCATGTCGTAGAACTTCTACAACGAATTTTAGTCATTATATATTTAGAGTGACGTCATACTGTTACAATGTACTCACATTGCAAGTGAATTTTGAGTTTTTTTTTTTTTTAAATAATTTATTATTATTTTAATATTTCTATTATTATCCTTCTAATATAATAATTGACGAGCTATTATGTTGAGTAGGTAGAGCATATCAGAAGTTTCTGATGACAAGTGCTGACTCGTCTTTGGCAAGATTGTGCGACAAGTTGCTCATCGACTAAAGTTTATTTACATTACCAATTTAAGGCATAATACAATAACACATCGAGTAAATAAATGCTCTGGCGATGTACAAAAATGACATAATATGCCGGTCTGGGAGTGGTCAGGCCAGTTTAGCTTTATATGTGGGTTAGTGCACCCCTACCCATCCTGTGGGCGGGTAGTCACCACATACCCATCCTGTGGGTGGTAGTCACACATACCCATCCTGTGGGCAGTAGTCACCCCATACCCATCCTGTGGGCGGTAGTCACCATACCCATCCTGTGGGCGGTAGTCACCACATACCCATCCTGTGGGCGGTAGTCACCACATACCCATCCTGTGGGTGGTAGTCACCACATACCCATCCTGTAGGTGGTAGTCACCACATACCCATCCTGTGGGCGGTAGTCACCACATACCCATCCTGTGGCCGGTACTCAAAAGATTACAAAGGTACATAATGGGTCCAGGGACTGGACTCCAAAGTTATGATAGCTGAACTAGTTACAAAGGTAATGAACTCCAGGTAGATCTGGTCACAATCATGGCAAGTTACAAAGGTAATGAATCAGCCTCACTCATTACAAAGTAATGAACCACTGATACGTCCACACCTGGTCACAATTGTAATGAGTTATAAATACAAATATTAAGTGGGTCATACACCCACACGAGCGCGCACGCGCACACATACACACACGAGGGCGCACGCACAGACATATGCACACGAGCGTACAAACACATGCATATGCACAAGCACGCACACCCACACACACACACCCACACCCACACACACACACCACACCCACCACACACACACACACACACTCACACACACACACACACACAGAAACAACGGGAAGACCAGAACGAGCCCCTGGTTTACCCGACGGTGTAAGGAGGCAAAAACAAAGTGCAATAGAGAATGGAAAAAGTACAGAAGGCAGAGAACACACGAAAATAGGGAGATCAGTCGCAGAGCCAGGAACGAGTACGCAAAGGTAAGGAGGGAGGCCCAGCGACAGTATGAAAATGACATAGCATCGAAAATCAAGACTGACCCGAAACTGTTGTATAGCCACATCAGGAGGAAGACAACAGTCAAAGACCAGGTGATCAGATTAAGGACAGAAGGGGAAGAACTCACAAGAAATGACCAGGAGGTATGTGAGGAGCTAAACAGGAGATTTAAGGAAGTTTTTTACAGTAGAGACAGGAAGGGCTGTGGGAAGTCAGTACAGAAGGGAACATCAAGAGGGAATATATCACCAAGTGTTGGATGACATACGAACAACCGAGGAGGAGATGAAGAAGCTGCTAAGTGACCTTGATACTTCAAAGGCGATGGGACCGGACAACATCTCCCCATGGGTCCTTAGAGAAGGAGCAGAGATGCTGTGCATGCCTCTAACCACATCTTCAACACATCCCTTAAAACTGGGCAACTACCTGAGAAATGGAAGACAGCAAATGTAGTCCCCATATTTAAGAAAGAAAACGGAAATGAGGTGCTAAACTACAGACCTGTGTCTCTGACATGTATCAATCAATCAATCAAGGACTCACAGGTAAGGACCCACGAGGGGCGAGGGGCAAGTGGGGACAGTGCGAAGAATAGACGGTGAGAGGAATGTCTTGAGTCGAAGAGAGAAGAGTCAGGACTAGACCCAACTGCTAAGCCTGGATAAACAATAACGAAGACGACATAGAAGACAGCAGGAAACTCTGCGGGTGCTGACTGCAACTTGCTGGACGAAATTGCTTGCATCTTGATGTTGATTGGCGGCTGGCAGAAGCTGGAGGTGTGGTCAAGGGAGGCTAGCTCTTGATTGGTCAGGTGTCGTTAAATTGTGAGTCAGAAGTTACTTCAGTTCTTCAGTGTTGGAGGCATTCCTTATGTTGTGCAGTTGTTGGAAGGAAACGATGAGTAGTCTTGTAATTTTGGGTCGAAATGCTGGGTCGGCTTGTAACTGGTCAAGGGTCATCTTGAGTGTAGTGAAGGAGCAGTGGGATCCTTTACGATTTGTAAACTTGACTGTTCTGTCGTGTATTTTCTCGTACAAAGTGTCGACATTCATGGTGGGTTCTTGGTCAGGAGTCGTATAAAAACATATCTTTCCAGTGCAGGTATTGATCTCGATGTTGGTCTTCTGTATTAATACGTCGAGTGATGGCTGGAGAGGTTTTTGTTGGTGGTTGCAGCATTGAAGGTTCTTTCAATGTTGGTGTCTCTGCTAGAGAGTGTGTAGAAGACTGTGGTAGAATCGTGGCTTCTGATTGGTCCATATGAGTAGTGGTGAGTGGAGGTGAAGGAGGTACGCCGCCACGACGAGCCAATCGACGAGTAGGAGGCGATCGACGAATAGGAGGCGTAGTGCTGACTTGGATGTTATCAGGTGAACGTTGATTGGAGGATTCAAAAAAGGATGCATCGTCTTTGCCAATTATTAATTCCTTCAAGTCATCTGGCGCTTCAAAACTGACAATCTTCGGGATTATTTTCAAAATTTCAGCTGATGGTGGACTTGCAGGGAAGTTAAATGATGGCATGTTGTTGAGTGCAAGAAGTTCATTGATAGTCGTGTTGAAAGAGTCAGGTTTTGCAGCATTTTGCATGTGGGCAAACATCATGCAGTAATAGAATTTGGTAGAAATATCATCAGGTGGAGGTTGGGTAGTGAGAGGTGGTGGAGACGACTGTTGAGTAGCTTGTAGAATCTTGGATGTTGTAGATTGAATCTTGGCAATTGCAGCGTATGTAGGAGAGGTTCCAGATGACCTCTTTGTTTCTTCCTTCAATTTCTTAGAAAGGATATCCTTTCGCACTGGACATTTGGCTGCAAGAGTATGGTGATCACTCTCACAGTTGATGCAAGTGGGAGCAGCAGTGGAAGTGCAAGAACGAAAATCGTGTCCTGCAGACCCACAGGTGGAACATATCTTCTTATTCTTCACGTGGCAGTCGGCAGTAGAGTGACTGTACGAGTAACATGTCCAGCAAGGTGTTATGTACGTGAAGCGTTCAGGTTCAATCTGTCGAGGGTTGATATAGTAGTAAGAGATGGCCAGGCCATCAGACAGTGCTCTGGTCGCCATGGTAACGTCCAGGAATGTGACCTTGAGCATTGAGGAAGCGTTGGGAATCTTCACTACAGTGTCAATCTTGGCCCAGGTGTTGAGGTCTTCAAGTGATGTAGTAATTTCCTGGATGGTCATGTTCGTGATCAGCTTGTCAAGACGTTTCATAAACACTGAACGTTTTGCAAGCATGTATGGTGACGTAGAGATGGTAAAGCCTCGGTCTTCTAAGGTCTTCATGGCAGTAGGTGTAAGCACCTTGTCAGCTTCAGTATCATCGAGAAAAGTGACGATGAAAGCTTCCTTCAGTGACGTGATCTTGGAGAAATTTGCGTGCAGACAAGTGTTGAGAGAAGCTGCAAGCTCAAGCTTCGTGGCGTCATCGACGACAGCAGACTTGGGCTTAATTCTCACACGATGAGACATCGTGGAGATGGTAGAGGTTCCCTCCCAACGGGGATCGTTAGGGATACTGTGCAAGTAAGGAGAGGCTGCTATGACCTGCCAGGGCGAGAATCAACAACAGAATCTGACATGTATTGTGTACAAAGTCATGGAGAAGATTATCAGGAGGAGAGTGGTCGAACACCTGGAATGGAACAAGATTATAAATGAAAACCAGCATGGGTTCATGGAAGGCAAATCTTGTATCACAAACCTCAGGAGTTTTATAACAAGGTAACAGAAGTAAGACACGATTGAGAGGGGTGGGTTGATTGCGTTTTCCTAGACTGCAGGAAGGCCTTTGACACAGTTCCCCACAAGAGATTAGGCAGAAGTTGGAGGATCAGGTGCATGTAACAGGGAGGGCACTGCAGTGGATCAGGGAATACCTGACAGGGAGGCAACAACGAGTCATGGTATGTGAAGAGGCATCACAGTTGGCGCCTGTGAGAGCGGGGTCCCACAGAGGTCAGTTCTAGGGCCAGTGCTATTTTTGATATATGCGAACGACATGATGGAAGGAATAGACTCTGAAGTGTCCCTATTCGCAGATGATGTGAAGTTGATGAGAAGAATTAAATCGGATGAGGA